GCTTTTCTCGACCAATGTTGAGGCCCCTGGGGCCCCCCCTCTGGGCCTCGTGACAGGGTGCCCTGGAGGCCGTGGGGGCCTCCTGGGAAGCCCTGGGGGCACCCTGGGCCAGGGGCACTGCTGGCTAGCTGTGCCCGAACTGGCGAGGTCCGGTCCGGGTGCTGCCACTGCCGCCCTCCCCCCCTGTCGGGTGTTGCGAGAAGTGCCCCTGGCCCAGGGTGCCCTCGGATTTCTTCGGAGGTCCCCACGGCCTCCAGAGCACCCCTCACGAGGCCCAGAGGGCCCCAGGGGTCCAAAAACTGGAGCGAAAAGCCAGGGGCACCTTGGCCTGGGGGCAGCTCCAGCAACCCCCGGCCTTTCCGCCCGCTCTGCAGGCCCAGGGTGAAGGTGGCCCCTGCGGTGTACGTGATGCCGAAGCAGGCTCTGGCGCCGCTGACGTCCAGGACACGGGGCGGAGAACGGCGAAGGGAGCGTCTCTAAAGTGCAAATGCACTCCTGCGGCGTGCCACTCTCGCGCGGCACCTCCCTCCAAGGCAGCCCCCGGGGTGGTCTGAGTCGACGGGACGGGGGTCAGGAACATTTGAGCGACGCGAGAAAACGGGGTCGCTTCGCCGACATTGGCGCGCAAGCTGCCCGCGTAGGGTCGCGCGTGAGTGCCCTCGTCTCCAATGTAGCGTGCCCGGCGGCCCGCGTAAGCCACTGCGTAGGGTCGCTGCGCTGCGTCATCTCGCGTAGGACCCGTTTTTGACCGTCGCTCCTTTGTTAGTTGGCAAGCCCGCCCGTATCGAAGAGTTGCCGCTTGGGGGCCCTGCGGCCAGCGCCGCCGACCCTGAAGGGGGAGGCCCGAGGCGTGCGGGAGGCAAGGAATCGAAGGGGACAGCTGCTCCCAGGGAGGGGTACTCCCCCACGGGGGGGTCATAACCCCTGGGCCCCCCCCGGCGGGGAAGGGATTAAAGGAAGGAACTTCCCTTCGACTCGATTTCGACGTTGGTCAATTTCTCTTTGGCTGGGGCGTTTGACGAGGGCCCTTGGACAGCGACAGGGGGGAGCAGTGACGGCGACGGCGACGGCGACGGCGACGACGACGACGACGACTCAAACGGAAAAACCTCCCACCAACGATGACAGGGTCGGCGGATGCCTGGAGAAGTCTCAGAGGATCGAGGCCCTTGGCGGGAGGAGGGACCTACCAGCCACACTCGGGGGGCCCTCCCGTAGCGGGCCCGACATTCTGTACCTCCCAAAGTGTGCGCTGTCCTCGCGCTGGACCCCCGAAGGAGTCCCCTGCTGGCACACCCGGCGCAGATCTCGGCGCCGCCGGCCAGAGCTTCCAATGCGTAGGCCGCCAGCCTCCTCCCCCTCGCCCCCCTGCCTGGAGTCGGGCGTGTCCCTCTGCAGGGGGAATTTTCAAAAGCAGTCAAAAAATAGTCTGGGGACGACTTTTTGGGACCCTTTTTGGGTATTTCAGGGTATGTTTTGACTATTTCTATCTTTTCGCCTAAACTCCCCTGTAGGGGGAGAGGCCCGACCTTGCCCTTGCCTCCCCCAGTTCGTCTCCTCGTCGGTGCCCCACGGCTCCCCCTCACTGGCAATCTGGCGTTCGCCGGGGCCATGCGTGCCGGCTTGAGGCCCTCAGGCCGCCATGGGGCCATGCGTGCCGGCTGGAGGCCCTCCTCCTGGTCCCCCTCGTCCTGCTCCTTCTGCTCCTGCTGCTGCTGCTGCTGCTGCTGCTGCTCCCTTCTCCACCTGCTGCTGCTGCTGCTCCTCCTCCTCCTCCTCCTCCTGCTCCGCCTCTTCCTCCTCCTCCTCCTCCTCCTCCTCCTCCTCCTCCTCCTCCTCCTACTCCTCGTCCTGCTCCGCCTCACGCTCCTCCTTCTCTCTACATGCAGCTACACATTAACAGGTGCACATTGCGAACACTACTCTCCTTTCTCTCCCCTGACTCTGTTCAGAATCTGACCCGCCCTCTCCGCGTATTGTTCTCACGCACAGGATTTCAAACGTGTGGTTTTAGTTTTCCAACCCGATCGTTTCGGCCCTTCAAAATGGTACTCCCGCTGAAGCGCTGGCGTCATTTCCGCGCTCTGGTCATTCAACTCGTGTTCCCTCTGCACCGCTGGTCTCATTTCCACGTTTCCGTCCTTCCGAATGGTGCTCCCGCTGCAGCGCTGGTCTTCATTCCACGCTTTCGGTCCTTCTCATGGTGCTCCCGCTGGCGCGCTCGCCTCATTTCCACCTTTTCGTTTTTGTTTTCCGCCTCAGCAGCGCCGGCTTCATCTCCAAGTTGTCGGTCCGTCAGCATGGTCTTCCGGCTGAACCGTTCGTGCTGTGCCGCTATGATGCGATTCCCGACTCTGGTCTGCCCTCACCCTCACCCTCCCTTTCGCCTCTGGCACGGAAGGGCCAGGTTTCACACCCGCGATGCCGCCGCATGTGCAGTAGAGTTGGCCGTGGCCTCGGTCGCCTGCACACCGCCCTGCCGCTAGCATCCATGGGGGTCTCGAGAGAGGGCGGGAAGGGGGAGGAGAAGGAGGAGGAGGGGGAGGAGGAGGAGGAATTCGCTGGAATTCGCTGGGATCCACGGGGTGGAAGCGAACTCAGCGGTCATCAAACAATACGCCAGGCGGTGGCCCACGGAGGACGGCCTCTCGCCTGACAATGCCCAGCTCCCGTGCCTGGGTCGTCTTGGACGGTCCCGAGTGGCTGGGAAACAGCCCCTTCTGAATTCGCTGAAGGTTCTCCGTGCCTTTCTTGGTGCGGGCCTTGCACTCGGCAACCAAATGACGTGGGTCCTCCGTGGCCGTTTTACCGCACGTCAAACAAACATGCAAGCCAAACTTGGGCCAAAAATGCAGCACGTGCGAGGAGTGGCAAACCTTCCCCCCAACAGTGACAGTCCCGCCCACCCGCACCACCCCATGATGAGCAAGACTCGAAAAGTCCTGGCTAGCAGCGTGGCAGGGAGACGCTGCAAATTCAGCAATGTGGTACACGGGTGCAAATTGGTGACGCAGCGAGCACAGCCACTTACGTTCGGCCCTGACCAAACAGTGCTCGCTCCGAAGCAGGGCCTCGGTGAGGCCACCCAGACGACGGGCCTCGGGAGGCCTCTCGGCGGACCAGGGGGCAACACTGATGGAGTCCACCATGGCCTTGGCAGCGCGACGCCTAACGAGCGCCGCCGTGCAATCCCACAGATCCGTGTCAGGGGGTCGTTGGCCCTGAAGGCCATGGGTCCAGGAAAAACTGGCCGCGTCCCCAGCAAGAGTGTCGGCAAAGCCGTTGCCCGTGGCATACAAACGCTCCTGAGGGGAGAGGGCGGGGTCTTCGGGGTCGACGTGCGACGGGTACTCTCCCCTCTCAGCCAAAGCGGCTCGGACACGAAACCAGAGGTGCGTGTTGGGGCCCTTACAAAACTCGTGCCTGCTGGACATCCACCCTCGATGCAGGGCCGCGTTGTCCGTGACAAACCGCAACGGGGCAGAGAAACTACGAATCGCGAGTTCAAACGCGCGAATCTCGGCTCTGGCCACTGTTTGACGGCGACCTCCCAGGGTCGTGGCAAAGCCGCGGGTCCGAGTCCAGCCCCCCGAGGCTGGCGCCAGCGAGATCGCAACCGCGCCCACTCTACGGCGACGAGGGGGATCATCGTTATTGCACGGGCAGTCCCAAATCCGATGGAAAAGGGTCGCTTCTGGGGGCCCGCATCGCGGGCACTTCAATGAAACTAAATAACCCCGCTCGCGCTGCCTATGATGAGGCCACTGGCCTCCAGCAGACACCGTGAGTAACTGGCCGATCATATCGAATTACTCCCGTTTCAGGAGGCGCTGGATCTGGGACCGAATGGCCGACGCGTCAGCACCTGAGACCAAATCATCCCTTGTGTTCATGTTTTGCCGTCTGCTGCCAAAGCTGGGCTCTGAGACCCTGAGCAAAATCGCTGACTAACTCCGCAATGTCGAAATCGCCTGCGACACGGTCGGCGGCAACGTCAGGACATTTCCAGGTTTCACCCGTGTTCGCCTCAACCGGCCTGCGCCATTCCGTGGGGGAAATCGGCCGCCACCCCCCGTCTCGAAGTGTCTCCAGCAGCTGTCGGTGTTGCACCGCGCGCCGCCGTGCTGGGTCCTGGCCTTTTGACTGCCTCGGCTGAAACCTCTGGTCAAGAGGCTTCTGGCCTGTGGGCTCAGCGGCCTCGGAGGAGGCCTTGGCCTTGGCCTGGGCGGCCTGGGCGGCCTTGGTTCGAGCGGCCGCCCGCAAGGCCTCGGGGCCGCTGAGGTCGCGCACCGCCGCCCCAGTACCATCTGGCACATCAGGAGGGGCAGCGGCAGCAGGGGCTGCCACGCTGCCGCTGGCCGCGGCCGCTGAGCCGTCGGCTGCCGTGGCCTCGCCGTCGGGGCCACGGCGCCGCTTGGACGGCAGCCTGGCGTGCAGCTTCTTGGCCTCCTGGCGGAGCTTGGCGATTTGCTTTGCGGCTGGGCCGAGGGCTTGCTGCGCCTTCTCCTGGGCGCTGGCCGCGAGCTCGGCCCTGATGCGGTTCCACTCGTCCTTGTCGCTGCTGTCGATCTCGAGCCCTTCCAAGTCGAAGAGCGGCTCACCGACGGTCTGCAGCGCGCCCTCGTCAACGAGGGTGAAGAGGTTGATGGCCGAAGCAGCGGGTGCCTTGAGTTGGTCCTCCTCGCCCTCCAACGGGGGCGGCGGCAGCTGCTTCTTGCAGGCCGCCTCCCAGACGAGCTGGGCCTGGTGCGCCGCTGCCGTGGCGGTGTCCTCCTCAGCTTTAGCAGCGGCCAGCCATGCCTCGGCCTCCAGCACCCGCGCGGCGCAGGTCTCGAGCCATGCCTGCGCGCGCCTGTACGCAATGCCCTTGGTGGAGACCTCCTCTTCCAAGAGCGGCGCCCGACGAGGTGCAGGTGCGGGCTGCTGCGCCTTGGCCTCCGCTCTCTTGGCACTGAGGGCCGCCAACTCGGCGCAGTCCCCCAGCTCGGCTCGAAGGAGCTCGAGGGGGTCCGCCGCGGGAGCCTCCTGTTCCTCTGCTGCTGCAGGCGAGCCGCCGCAGGGGTACCAGCCAGGCCCTTTTCCAGACCCAAGGCCGACGGGCGACGTGACCGCCCTTGGCAGCTCTCGGCGGCACAGGCGGGCCCTTGCGCCCAGCCGTGGGCACCGCGGCCGCGTCGGCAGCCTCGAAGGGGTTCGTCGCGAGCGCGGGCGGGCCAAACGACCACTGGCCAGCAGGTTTCTTGTCGGGCGACGGGTTCGGCACCAGCGGCGAGGAGCATTGGTAGCACCAGTGGTTGGACTTGAGGTTCCAGCGATAACGGCACTGCGTACACGAGACGAAGGAGCCCGACTCGTCCTTGCCTTTGCCGCACGCGCCGCCATTGCCGCCCTTGGCGCCGCTGCGGCCTATGGGCTGACGGCTCTGCTGACTGAGGCAGAGCTCCGCACCTGGGGCAGACCAGGCGGAGAAATTGAATCGGCCGCGGTAACAGCGGTATCCGTTGAAAGCCAGTGGGCTCCGCCCACCAAAGCATGAAACCTTGCGCCAAAATGGCTACGGAGGGAGGAAAAGGAGGAGAAGGAGGAGGAGGAGGAGCAGGAGGAGGAGGAGCAGGAGGAGGAAGAGGAGGAGGAGGAGGAGCAGGAGGAGGAGGAGGAGGAGGAGGAGGAGGAGGAGGAGGAGGAGGGAGGAGGAGGAGGAGGAGGAGGAGCAGGAGGAGGAGGAGGAGGAGGAGGAGCAGGAGGAGGAGGAGGAGGAGGAGGAGCAGGAGGAGGAGGCGCGCCGAGCCATCCTCGGCAGCCTCGGCAGCCACCGGGCCGGCGGCTCGCGTGCACCGGGTGCCGCACGCCGAGGAGGACACCGACGTCCTCCTAGCCTTAAGTCGAGTCGGGCCTGTCCCTTTACAGGAGGAACATTCAAACATAGCAAAGCATAGTAGGGGGCGGCTTTTTTCATTTAACTATTTTGACCATTGTGGGTTCTTTTTTGGGGCAGTTTTTTGTTGTTGTTTTTTTTGTTGTCCCCCCCTTTTTCGCCCAAAATCCGCCTGTAGGAGGACATGCCCGACCGAGTTCTAGCCACAGCCCCCCCCCCCACTCAGCACATCACCGCTCTGCTGCAACAGCACCCGCACACGCCGCCCCTCCCCGCGCACGCGGCGGAAGCTCGCGACCACGCAGGCCACCAGGGCCGCCAAGGCGGCACAAAATTGCTTCAAGGCGCACCCAAGAGGTTTGCAAGAGCGCCCAGAGGCCCCAAGTCAGCTCCTTACACCGTGGGCGTGCAGATCGGGAGTGCCACTCCGGAATCGTCATGCACTGCTCTGCTTTCGAGTCGTAGTCCCGAGCACACCGCGCCAGGGGGGAGGTTTTTGGGCCACCCTCGTCTTCGAATATGCAACACCTCCCACCACAAAAGGTGGGCGCAGTGTGGCGCTTACAGCCCCGCGCCCGGACGCGGTGTCCGAACTGTTGCCTTCTCTGCTGCTCTCTGGTGGTGTCTGCTGCTCTCTGCTGCTCTCTGCTGGTCTCTGCTGGTCTCTGCTGGTCTGTGCTGTTGTCTGCGGGTCTCTGCTGCTTTCTGCTGGCCCCTGCTGGTGACTACTGCTCTCTGCTGGTGTCTGCTGCTGTCTGCGGGTCTCTACTGCGCTGTGCTGGTCTCTGCTGCTGTCTGCTGTTGTCCGCTGGCACCTGCTCGTCTCTGATGTTGTCTGCAGCTCGTTGCTGGTCGCTGCGTCTGCTGCTCTCTGCTGGGATTTCATGGTCTCTGCTGGTGTCGGCTATTCTCCGTTGCGATGTGCGGCTCCCTCCGCTTTCCGCTGAGCTCTGCCGGTTTCTGCTGCCCTCTGCGGGTCTCTGCTGATGTATGCTGCGCTCTGCTGGTGTCTGCTGCGCTATGCGAGTCTCTGCAGGTGACTGCTGCTCGTTGCTGGTCTCTGCTGTTGCCTGCTGTTCTCTGCTGCTGTCTGCTGGTCTCTGGTGGTGTCTGCTGATCTCTGCTGGTGGCTGCTGCTCTCTGCTGGTGTCTGCAGCTGTCTGCTGGTCTTGGCTACTCTCTGCTGCTCTCTGCTGGTCTCTGCTGTTGACTGCTGCTTGCTTCTGCTGCTTGCTGCTTTCCGCTGCGCCGTGCTGCTTCCTTCGCTCTCCTCCGGTCTCTGCTGGTCTTTGCTACCCTCTGCCAGTCTCTGCTGGTCTCTGCTGGTAATTGCTGATGCCTGCGGGTGTCAGCTGTTCTCTCTGCTGATGTATGCTCCTTCCTTCTGGTCTCTGATAGTCTCTGCTGGTCTCCGCTGCTCTGATGAAGCTTCGATGTGGCCGTGCAATGGTCTCTGTTACTGGCTGCTTCCCTGTGCTGGTCTCTGCTGATGACTGCTGCTCGCTGCTGGGCTTTCATGGTCTCTGCTGCTGTCTGCTGCTCTCCGCTGCGCTGTGCTGCTCCCTCCGCTCTCCGCTTGTTTCTGCTGCCCTCTGCGGGTCTTTGCTGCAGTTGCTGCTCTTTGC